GCGGGTCGCGCGGAATGCGACTCGTTTTCCCGCATACAGAGCACACGTCGCTTTCGTGGCCAGCCTGTGTACACACAAAAGATACGTATCTTATCTGGCGGATTGTAAATCGCGCCCGTGGCGAGTCGCGAATATTCATGCGGCGTCTCCGCGCGATTTGCATTCATCGTGTCACAGCCCGCTCTCGCGAATTATTAACGCGAGGCCCGCTCGGCGGCCGCCGATCGATAAGCGAATTTTCTTCCCGGCGCTTACACGCCTCGGGAATTTCCCGGGTGCCACTCGACACTCCCCGAGAACCGACGCCCGGTCCCGGAAGTTTCACGAAGAATCGGCGTCCTCGGAAATGGTTTTATTGTCCTCGGTGTTGAGCACCGCTAACCCGCTTTCCCCAGCTTTCGGAATTTTACAACGCCGACCTGCCGCCGATCGTCAAGTTGCGGGGCTAATTCGACCATTACGTACGCTCTTACGTTCTGTCGTCGCGCGGTACATCGGCCGAGTGTGTGACTGTAAACTTAGAAGAATGGCATTCGCCCGCGAAATGATATTTCCCGGTGTGTTCTCGAGATTTTCCTCGTCGGAATATATATTTTTACGATCGCAATCAAAAACTTTCGCCAGTGCTACGGAAACGCGTATCATGGATATAAAGCGTGGATAAAACGTTTTCGACCAATGACTTCGATTATTGCAGCAAATCTTTTCGCACATCCAATGTAAAAGCGCGACGTAATATCACGCTAGAAAAAAAAAATTGTTGATCTCATTAAAATTATTGTCATTTTCGGCGCCAAATACGTGGAGAAAATATTGTAGTAAAAATTATGTTAAGATTATATTTAATTAATCAGTTAAAAGTTAAGTTAAAAAGTTAAATGTTTAATAACTTAAACTTAATTCATGGAGGGTCCATTGAACGACTGAAACGCATATGGATTTATATTTTATTGAATAAAAATAAATATTTCTTCTTTGTACATCTGTAAGAACAGACATTAATAATTTATGGTTTTAATTAGTTAATCACGCTATCACATCTGTGTGTTGATTCTTAACAGGTCCTTATTCTTCCTTTCTTGATTAATTCATTGAGTCAACTTTTTACTTAAACTATGTTATTTAAAAATGCATTAATTTTAACCTTTTGACTTTTTTATATAAATTAAAATAACTATAATGATTAAAATTATTATAATATAATAATATTTATATTAATAATTTTAATAATATCATAGTAAAAAATATTAAAATCAGTGTGCGCTGTTTACAATATAAAAAAAATAAAAATTCCAGTAAAATTGTTTTTGTTCCTTTAACCGTCAGTGCTCTTTTTTCCCCACCGATTATTTTCTAATAGACAACTGTCTTTTTATTATTTCAAGCATAAATTTAAGCTATGATTAAAAAATTTAATTATGCAAAAAACTTATATATGCTTGCTTGATCTCACTTCCAGACTGGTGCCGCGTCCTTCATGAATTTTCAAGCATAATTTATTATAATAATATATATTATGATAGTATATATTATGCTTAATCAACTTTTAACAATAACAATTCAATGTTAACTTAACTTTGAATATACTAGTTTTTGTTTATGTAATCTTTAATTGAACTAAATTTATTTTATAAGCTATTTTCAATTAAAAAAGAACATTAATTTATTCAACCCTATGTGCGTCCCACACAGCAGAGGTGTCCAAAATATATCATAAGGATATCCTAAAGATATATTTGGGATATGTGATATCTTCATGTGATATCCCTATGATGTATTTGGGACATTCCTGCTGTATGGGGTGTAATTATCGCTAACACTCGCTACAAGAATGGTTTTCCTAATAATAATTCTTTCTCACTATGCGATTATAATAACAAATTCCAAACATACTTCCTTTCAGTGCAGTTGCATTCGATAATGATTAATCTCATTTATTACTACTTTATTTATTTATTTATTTATTTATTACTATTAATTACTTATTTATTTATTACTATTAATACTACTTATTTAATATTTAATGCTCATCAGCCGCGCTGCCGATTAAAGTATGAGATATTAATTAACGATGATTGCGTTTAAAACACGCAATCGCATGTACACATCGAATAACTAATTAACTTGGGAAGACTCGCTGGTAATTATCCTAATACGCCGCAAATCAACGCCGGTTAATCAATAATAACTTAAACTTATTACCACGTTAATAGCATCAATTAATCTCCCTTCGTAAAAGTTGGAAACGGAAACCGTACTCGCGAAAATGCAAATTAACGCTCCGGCAGCAGTAGCGGCGGCGGCAGCGAAGTCTCGTCGAGTGGGGCGAGAAGATACGAAGTTCGCAAAAATGCTGAAGCAAGGAACGGCATCAATCTTCCATCTTTTTTTGCTCTCGCCGCGAGTGTACAGGGCTAATAATTTCTAAACCGTGCCTCGAACGAGATTGGACCGACCGTTTATCATCGCGGACATTTGGAGCAGGTACAGAAAGGCGATCCGAAAAGTAGCGAGTTCTGCGAGAGAGGAGAGCGAGAGGCAGTCAAGACAGTAGCGAAAGCGGAAATAATGCCCGGCGCGTCCGTACACGCTTCTGGCATGAAATATGAAGCGAAGGGATTTACAACATGCGTCACTTCGCGGTCCGATTTGCCGCATACCGGAGCAATGCGCCGCACTTTTTCAGAGGATTATACGCGCCATTTCCATTTGCCCGTAATGCGCGAAGTGCAGTTTCACGCGGCCGGTTTTGAAGCGGAGCCTCTCGTCTGCGTGGAGCCGCTCTCCACGCCGAAATCAATCTGATCGATACACGTCTCTCGTTCGTGCGATTCGACGGTTTGTAGGTCGTCGACGGTTTGTGACGCGGGCTAGGTAAACGCGATTCTGTAATCTAGACATAATATCTGGGTAAACATTTGCCCAACGAGTTTGGGAAAATTCGCGGAAAATATATATATATATATTTTTTTTTCAACGAACGTTGAAGATCGGAAAAATATCAATATTTCGCAATCTGAAAAATTTCAATCGCTTGCGCGCGCGTGTGTAAATGCGTACTCTCGATATTTTGCACAATGCACGCGAATCACGTTGCGTGTAAGCGAGATCCGGTAAAAATTATCTCGCAGGCTGAACATCACTCTCGTCAACGTACACGGAAGCTACGTTAGCCGTGGCCGATGCTGTCGCCGATGTAACATAGTTACGGCCGGCTATATACGTGGGCGCAGCTCTACGACGAGACAGATTAACATTGTCGATACATCGTCGGCGTCGATCAACGTCCGCGACAGCAGAACACATTTGTCGTGTATCTGTTAACTTCGGCTATCGCTAGCGCGGCCAACGGCGCGAATAGTTCCTAGGATTATATACTGCAGTCAGATATAAGGATGATGTTAGATTTGGGATAATGTATTTCTCTGTGTTGGGAAGTTTGCTTCTTTTATCATAACAATAAGTAAAAGTCAATGGCAGGTTTGCTGAGTACTAGAGAAAATTTTTTACAAATCTCGGATATTTCGATAAAGAGGTTCTAAAGAGAATGCTAAAAATGACATGGCATTTGAAACATTATTTTATTTACAAATACTGTTTACATGTCAATTTTTTTTTAGATTTTTCCACCCGCCCATTTTCATGCATAAATTAATATCAAAGTTCTAGAAATTTTAACAAAGTTTTTTTATAGGAAACGCGATTTTGGGTATCTATTTTCAACGAAAATGAATATTTGAAAAACTGAGAAGCAAATAAATTTAAATGTAATATATGAAATACATCAAGCTGAAATATTGAACATAAATCTCAAAATTGACTATTTTGTTCTGAAAAGGGCAAGAAATTAAGTCAAATCGTATTGTTTTAATAATAAAATTCATTATTGTTTTCTTTTCTAAACGTTTACGTTTACGTATTCAAAGTGTCGGCTTAAATCATTTTAGCCTATATCGGTATCAAATTCCAAAACCAAATGCTTCACATTCTATTACATAACTATCGATTCTTCTGAATCGATTGACAAAATGAATCATATTAGAAGCGACATGTATCGAGCTGACTCAACCACTTGGCTGTAACTACAATCGATGCCGTAGCGGTGCGTATCGACTATAATTCCGATCCGCAAAGGAGCGAAGCGTTAGCCTACGGGCACGATGAGAACTAAAAAGGCACAAGCGATGCTCATTAAGAGTCTCTTTGCTTCCATTATTCTCTTCGTCCGCCTTTTATTCCCTCTTACTCGATGAAGCTCTTCTTTCGTTTCTCCTTTAAGTTAATAATGACGAACATGAACCACATTAGAGGTCTTCAGCGCAGCAAGATCAAACATATTGCGGTTAAGCTCTCATCATTCTCCACAAGATCGCCATTATCAATAAAGTGTAATCACAAAAATTGAGGTATGTGCTGAAGATCGTTAGTTTCACGCGAGCTTATATTCCGAAAATGTTCATCCATGTATAAGTAAAATCCTCTATAATTCAAAGGATTCCGCTAAGAATAAGATTATATTTTTTCGTGTGTTATAGAATAAAGAACTCACTTTACAGAAGTGATGAAAAATCACTCAAATTCGAATTATTCGATAACCACTAACTTTAACTTTGTTAACTTTAACTTTGTAGCTCTACATTTCGAGTGAAATTTCACTCAAGAAATTTAGGAGAGTAAATCAAAGGATTAACATACGTATCTCTCGTGTCTGAATTTCGGCCGCGTCATAAATAAAAGATAGTTCGCAAAATGGCATAGCGGAGAATCTGACAAGTACTCTGTATAAAAGAAGAAAAAGAAATAAAGAGAACGGAAGGTAGACGCTTGGCTCACAAAACCAGAGCGGATGAATTCATTCGTTCGTTCGGGACGATGCTTGATCGATTATCGAAATAATGACTGCCAGTTTCCGCGACATGAAGAGCCCGTTGCGGTGCATTCAACACGGAGGAGTGCGGCCGAGCTGTTAATACGGTTGCATGCGCTTTTTTCTGTTGCAGGCCGGCCTCGTGAATGAACGCACGAGATGGACGTCTGAATCAAAGCTGTCATGGCCCCGTTTCTATTGATCCTCCCGTTGCTGGCATCGTTGCGCCAGCTGATACAGCCGATCGGTAAGTGAGGCTCTTCTTCAACGCTCGCGGGAAAATGCAACGACGTCGACGGAAAAAGAGAGCTGCTGATGCCGTATCGAACGATTCGAATTTCTCGCTTTCAGAGGTTCGCTCGGAGGGAGAAAAAAAGAGAGAGAGAGAGAGAGAGGGAGAGTTCCGCATTCGGCCGACTCGAGTCGATAATTAATTGATACGTCAAACAAATCGCTGACGTCGTAATTAACGATCGATCTTGTTCGCACGGTTCAACCTGTTAATAAAACGTAAACCATGGCTGATGTATAACAAATATTACATTAACAAAGCACATAGTGTATACAGGGTGTCTTAGATTCTTCTCCACAATTTTTGTGAGAACGTAAAACGGATCGAGGGGAACATAAAAGTTTTATATCTTTTTGCAATATTCGTTCTATCATTTTGCAAATGACCACATAGATTTTCAAATATTAATTGACCGTTTGACTTACAGTTTCATCTAATGTACAAACACATAACAGCACACATTGCCACTACAAGTCTACCATATGGCGCGTGATTATTTAATTTACTTTACGGTATAGAACATTTATGTTCACCTGAATCCGCTCTACGTTACTAAAAAAATTACGGAAGAAAGTCTAGGACACTCTGTATATGAATATATTTTATATTTAATCTCTTACAACACGGTTCTGTCGCCATGTATATTTTCCAATCACGTAATAGCAAGCAGCAGTGCGACACATTGGTCGCAGAGGTAAGCCGAGTCTATATAGTTAGTCCAAGGGGTATATCGATTATGTACTTGGTTTGCATTCATCGTGAGAGAAACAGTAGAGATGAAATGTCGCAAAATGTTCCTTTTAGAACATAATTACTTCTTCCTGAGTTTCACTAAAATCGGGACAATTAAAAATAGAAATTATTAATTTAGGAACAGTCAAGCAGAGGAAACCGGAGCTACTTCATGTCTCAGAAGTTCAAAGTTACAATTTCTCAGACATCTAATTGTTGTGACTGATTGTAGAAACTTGATTGTTGAAACTTAGGCAGTCTTTTTTTATGTGTTGGTGCCCGCAAAGATCCTGTTAACCGTATATTTTGTTTTGTAATAACCAAGATACAAACATGCAGCAACGTGACTTATCTTACTCTAGTGTCGAGTTCATTTACTGGTAGTAAGTAGAGTAAGAAGACCACATATGAAATATGTATCATGATTAGTAGTTCTGGGATCTCTGCAAGAGGTTTCCACAGCCCCTCTTGCTAACCTTTAATTATGGACCTACTGTACCTTGTCTATCCATAAGCTCAATTTTAATGAATTTCATGAATGAAAATTGCTTTTAATATCCGAAACAATAATATCATACACCTATAAGAAAGTTAATTCTAACTACTAATATGTCGCTTAACTTTATTCAATGTGTGACTTTAAAAAATATTGATACATTTTGAAAAGTTCCAATACATCTCTCTTTCTCACTCTTTTTCTCTCTTTCTCTCTCTGAGTAATACTATTGTCAAGATAACCTATTCTTCAGCTCGATTTCTTACACGTGAGCGTCAGCGTTTCCGCGTTCCATAGTAACACGTGTCGCGTATGTTTACATGGATTTCCTGCAAGTGCTACAAGCACAAACTTCTATATACTACTAGACTGCTACCTCTGCAGCCGAAAGTAAGACAAAGTGAAAAATTAGCGGCTATTTTTGTATGGTCTTTCGTATTCTTATTGTCCCAATGAACTAGTGCAATTCATTTTTAATTTGTTATTTTTGTAATGAAATTATCAATAAAAAATTAAAGATTAAGAGGAGCGTAATTGCAATTGTAACAGTCAATAATATCACAATCATTTGCTGAGTCAAACCTACACAACACAACGTCTAAAATCGGGACATAAGGCGTCTAAAAGACGTCTTAAAGACGTCTTGAAGACGTTGAAATAGGCATCTTAAAGACATCTTCAAAACATCTTATGTCCTAATTTTAAATGTTGTGTCGCTATCACGTCTCCTGATAATTAAAAATATTAATGCAAATAATAACTTATGAAAAAAACTTGTTCCAGGTTGTGTTTTACATTTACTTTTACAGCCTTTTGCGTAACAGGATTTTAGCACGTTACACGAGAACGCTTTTTTTCACGATAAAAATTTTCTTACACATGCAGTCACCAAATACATACTGTTATCATATACTAACAAACTTACGCTATAAAATTTACCGTATAAAAGATTAGAGGGCTATTGCCTTCATTACGCTACAAATTTATTTTACTTTCCAACAGATAGATCGGCGAAAGGTAGCGATCTAGTAAGATACAGTGTGTTAAAAAAATAATTCAAGACTTATGAAGAGAGAGAGAAAACAAATAGTACAAACTAAATAAAAAGTGAACATGAGTCAAAAATTCAACTTCAAAGTTAGAAATGCTTTTGGTACTAATGCATACATAACTTGTTCGCTTATATTATTACATAGCGTAAAAACAAAAGATCATCTCATAGCTGTGTAACATTGAACATACCAGGTATGTAAATATGAAACCGGAATTTTTGTATAGAAAATACACGTTTATTGTATGAAAATGATAAAAAATATTTTATTCGAAGTATTGGCCATCGGTAGCTATACATTTTTCTCACCTGTCTGACAATTTGTGGATGTCACGCCAAAAAAACTGTTGCTCTTTTGAGGCAAACCAGTCATCGAGCCATTTTCGTACATTTTCGTAAATGAAGCGCTGCTTAGCAAGTGCGTGTCCCATCGATGCAAATAAATAGTAATCGGACGGAGCCAAGTCTGGTGAATAAGCCGCATGCGAAAGTATTTCCCAACTAAACGCCTCAATCGTTTCCTTGACCAGTTTTGCTGTGTGTGATGGTGCATTATCATGAAGCAAAATCACTTTGTGTTGCCTTTTTTTATATTCTGGTCGTTTTTCACGCAAAGCTTGATTCAAATCGATCATTTGTTGTCGGTAGCGTTCAGTATTAACGGTTTGGCCAGGTTTTAGCAGCTCATAATAGATCACACCCTTCTGATCCCACCAAACACAGAGCATTGTCTTCCGTCCATAGCGGTTTGGCCTTGCAGTCGATGTCGATGGTTCGCCTGGAGTTACCCATGATCTTTTACGCTTAGGATTCTCAAAATATATCCACTTTTCATCGCCAGTCACAATTCGATGGAGAAATGACTTTCTTTTGTACCTGGCGAGCAGCATTTCGCAAGTGGTTTTTCGGTTTTCCTGCTGTCTTTCATTCAGTTCATGTGGAACCCATTTTCCCATCTTCTGGATTTTTCCCATGACTTTCAAACGTATGGAGACGGCTTCTCGTGTCACATTTAATTAATCCGCGAGTTGTTGTTGCGTTTGAGTATCATTCTCATCCAACAATGCTTGCAATTCGCTGTCTTCAAACTTTTTCGGTGGTCTTCCACGTCTTCGTTTCTCACGTCAAATTCACCACTTTTGAATTTTTTAAACCACTCAAAGTACTGTGATTTACCAAGAGCATGCTCACCGTAAACTTCGACAAGCATTCGATGCGATTCTGCAGCAGTTTTCTTCAAATGGTAACAGAAAATCAATGCTGTCCGCAAATCGTAGTTTCCAGGCACAAAATTCGACATGTTCAACGCTATTACAAACTATGCTGTTGTATGAAATTTATATTGTTGTGAGTTGAAAATCTTTGTCAAAGATGTCAACAAGGAAATGGCGCCAATGACGCGGTTTGACAGTGACTACATTGACGGTAACTATAAATTCCGGTTTCATATTTACAGACCTGGTATGTGTAATCATAGATCACAAGGACGAATGTCTAATATTCCGAATTGAAAAAAATGATAAAATAATCCCTTATTATTATGAATTGTATATAGAAATGGAAGAGGAACATGTCGAACACCGTGTTTGTAAATATGGTAATAAAAATGTTGTGAGAGATAATCTCTTTTATTTCCACGACGCATGTAATAATATAAGCAAACAAATCATATACTTCATCAAAATCGAAAATTGCTTCTAATTCTGAAAGAGTTAATTTTTCGATTCAAGCCTACTAAGTATTTTTTATTCAGTTTAGCAAATACTATCTATTAATCTACTAATCTTGAGTCCTATTTTTTAACACTCTAAAGAACGTGGTCACGAGTTTCTTCAGTACGGCCCATGTCCTTACTCCGTCTACGTCAGCGCGCTTTCTGTCAACGACCACGTGGTCCTTCGCTCAGCTGGCACTCTAACTCCCCCGGCGTGCAGCATGCATTGTTCGGTGTATGGTACGTCAGTCCGTAAAGCAGAACGTGATCCTCTGTGGCATTCAGCAATGTCGAGCGTGTCGAGACTTTAAAGGGCCGTAACTCGCAAACGAATCAACCATAAAAGCACCATTTGTAATTATACGTATCGATTTACCCCGGAATTTCATTCGATCTCCATGCGACCAGATCCCCGACAGATCGTAAAGCCAAAATTCTGGAAAAGCGACCGGCAGAATCACTCTATCGCCGAATGTCGGTTTCATCCATTTTATCATTCTTTGTATAACCCATATTTCGTGTGGATTGTACGAACGGAGGCAGAAATTCCGAATGGCGTACAGTTACTATACGCTATTACATTGTCTCGCTTTACACAGATTTATCACCGCACGCAAATCCCGAACGAAACTCCGGCGTGCGCCTTAGCGCACTTTCCCGGGATGTGCATCGCGTATGAAAACCGCAACGAAAACAAGTGCTTTCAGCCGGAACACCGTTAGTTAATTCGCGATGCGTAAATTTCTCGATGCGTGCGTCTGATGGAAATGTAAATCTTGCAACAAAACAACAGCCTTTATCCAGCTGCTGATTGAACAACTTAGTTCAACTGTACTTACTGCATCTGACACCTCAGTGATAACAAAATAAATTTAAATGTTGTAGAATATTTCGTGAAATTGCGACCACTATGCAACTATACATTCCGCGTTAAAATTTCTCAAGATTTTCCCAAACAAAAT